GGTTTTGCACTTTATCACTTTATTGCAGGTGTTTGATCATAATAATACAGAAAGGATCAGTAAAAAAACAGCGTTTCTCTGCACCTTAAGGCGTTGACAATAGGTTATATTCACCGTTCTTCTAACCTCGCTCACACCTTGTTTTTCTCTGTTGGTCCACCTTTGCAGGACTACCTTTGTCTACGTTTGTGTGTTACGCCTGTGCCCCCTATAGGCACAATAGGCAAGCTGTAACGTAAGTGGGGGCTCGTCCGGGATATGGCTCTGTTTAGTGTGGAACTTTTTGTGAGAAACCCTACTTTGGAACAGCTTGACAGCTGTAGGAAAGATACGTGCAATTGCTGCACACGATGGAATTCCTGTATCCTCCTGGCAAGGCAAGGCAATTTTATTTGTATAGCACTTTTCATACACAAGGCAGACTCAAAGTGCTTCACATCATAACATTTCATACAATAAAGTGAAATAAAATGCAGGAATTAAAAGACAATTAAAAACAGCAAATACAATTATAAATTAAAATCTTATTTAAATGGTTTAATTAAAGGCAGAGGTTAAAAGTGCAATGTAGGTAAAATTTAGCAGAAGGCGAAGCTGAACATAAAGGTTTTCAGTCTTGTTTTAAACGTGGTCAGAGTTGGAGCAAGTCTTAAATCGTCAGGAAGTTTATTCCAGCTGTTTGTTGCGTAGTAACTAAATGATGCTTTCCCATGATTTGTATTTACTCTGTAAGTCTTAAAGTCTTTAAAGCGGAGTTGAAGGCTGTTGTTCTAACTGGACTAAGGGGAAAAAGTGTGTTTCTCCTAACAGGTCCAGAGCAACCGATCCCAGCAGAGGACACTGAGGCCGCTGCTTCAGGGACGCCATGCGGGGCTGCTAGACGTTTAATAAACACATTTTATGCATATACTGCACCTAAATGCAAAGGATATTATTTGTCCAGCTGCTTTTATAGGCCTATATGTTCTCCCTCGGCCGGCTCCAGTGGACGTAGAAGTTGTGGCAGTTGTAGTCACCGTAGCCGGTTCGCTAAGTTTGTTCTCAGCTTCTGGTAGCTCTAAATCTTGTGAAGAAACCTCTTTCACGTTAGTTGAATCTTCTCCCCCTCACCTGATTCCTCTGTCTCTTCATCTCCTTTTCGCTTGAAATAAAATTTGATGTTCTTCATTTTGATATCTGCAATGTAAACTTCACTTGGCTCACTTCTGGGTATAGTGGCTGAGGGCAGACTATTAATGTGTGGGAAGCGTGTATGGGTTCTCTGCTATTTCTGTTTGTATTTTTTCTCCTGTTTTGTGGATACACAGGGCGGTCAGTATTTTTCCTTTTCATGCGGTAGGCCAGAAAGACTTTGTTTTCTAGCTGGGGTGGGGTTTTTGTTTATTGTTTTGGCCTTTGAGACCCTGATGCCTTTTTGCTTCCGTTTCAATTGTCAAGTGTTGAGCCGTTGACAATAAGTTATATTCACTGTTCTAACATCATTCACGCCTTGTTTTTCTTCGTCGTTCCACCTTTGCAAAGCTACCTTTGTCTACATTTGTGTAACAATGTAGTGAAATCATTTAGTAACTATGGACCATTTCCTTTTAAATCGAATCTGAAATTGACCAGAAGTTGGCTCATATATGACATTTCGAAAGGCATCAATTTTTAAATGGTACATCAGAATGTCCTGGTTATCACTGAGTCACACCTCGAGGTGGTATACCATCAGCCTGAAGTGGAATTAATATGTACCTATTGATTGCTTCCTTTTAAATCAAACCTGAAATTGACCAGAAGTTGTCTCACGAATGACATTTTGACAGGCTTTAATATTGGAATGCTACATCAGAATGTCCTGGTTATCACTGAGTGAAACCTTGAGGTGGTGTGCTATCAGCCTGAAGTGGAATTATTACCTAACTATTGATTGACTTTTAAATGCCATCTCAAATGAACCAGAAGTTGGCTCGTGAATAAGATTTTAGAGGAAGTTGGCTCATGTATGACATTTTGAAGGGCCTTAAGTCTTGAATGCTACATAAGAATAAGAATTTCCTGATATTTTCTGTCTGTGTAAATTAACTCTTTATAAATGTATTTGAATAAATAATTCAAATTACATTATTACATTACATTACATGTCATTTAGCTGACGCTTTTATCCAAAGCGACTTACAATAAGTGCATTCAACCATAGGGTACAAACTCAGAAGAGCAAGAAACAAGAAAGTGCAATTTCCTCAAATAAGGCAATTTACAATTTGCTATAGATGAGTGGCGTTATAAGTACAATTTAGGTGCTACAATTATCATTTATAGACTGTTTTCCCTCCATTTCCCTGTTTTTTAATGTATTATCAGATTTAAATATGATTTACAGACTTCTTGAATGAGTTTGACACGTTCACTGCCGGGATCTCTAGTACACGCGTACCGTGAAATAACGTGCAGGCTCGCTTGACTGTGTTTTCCGAAGTGGAGGCTGGTTTGAACGCATTCGAGTTTGGAGTGAAATTGAATTAAAGTTGACCTGAATTTAGTTGTAGTCAGTTGAATTTTTCTTGAAAGAAATTCTTAGTTATTAATGGGAGAAAAAAGAAGTGAATTTAAGACTGAGACTGAATTTCATTTCTTTGTCATTTTAAAAGTTTCAAAGTAAATGATAACCAAATTACTGATTGGTTACTTCCTTTTTTGGAGGTAAATAAACCATAGCGTCAAGTGTTAGTCATATGTGGAGCAGTGATATATGAGTTAAAAATTGTGTTCTAATTGCTCGGGTGTTCAATACCATGTATAGATAGATAGATAAATAGATACTTTTTTGATCCCTCAAGAGGAAAATTTTGGTATCACAGCAGCATGTACAGGGAAGAAAATAGAACAAAAAGATACACATTATATACAATACAACAAGAGAAATATTAAATTATTAAATTAAATTAAATAAACTGAAACAAAAGAATAACCTTCCAAAAGAAAGAGCAGCAACATCACAGCAGTACAGGGTTATTATTGTCATTATTTAGCCAGGGATGATTTATTGTAAAGTGTTATTGCACTGGGCAGGAATGACCTCCTGTATCAGTCCTTGTGACAGCGGAGCTGAAGGAGTCTGTTGGAGAACGTGCTCCGCTGTCCCTGTAGCAGGTGGTGAAGGGGGTGGTCAGGATTATCCAATATGGATAACAGTTTCTTCAGTGACCTCCCCTCCAACACCTTTTCCAAGCTGTCCTGTTTGCAGCCAATGATGGAGCCGAAACTTCTTAACAAGTTTGTTAAGTCTGTTGGTGTCACCGGCTCAAATGCTGCTCCCCCAGCAGACCTCAGCGGTAGCGGAGCCGTCGTCTTCCTCCCGAAGTCGACCACCATCTCTCTGGTCTTGGCCACGTTCAGGAGCAGGTGATTTCTGCTCGCCCACACCACAAAGTCCTCCACTACTGCCCTGTACTCCTCCCCCCGTCCATCCCTTATACACCCTACCACTGCAGAGTCATCAGAGTATAGATCGGGTCACAGGACTGAATGATATTTATTTTGTCTGTTTTTTTTATACTTGGAAAGGGATGTTTACGGAACTTCTCTGACTTAAGCGGCCAATCAGAAGCCATTTCTTCACATCGAACGATCTGTGTTGGACTTCCTAAACCTCCAGCAGATGGCGGTGAAGGTTCACTGTTGACTGGGTACTTCTAAGTTAAGATGTAAATAGACAATGTTACCTCACCAGAAACAGCTGACTGTGTCCTTCCAACCCAAACTTTTTTACACGTTTCATATTTAGATTAATCCGTGTTAAAGCAGGATGACTCTCTGAAACTAAACTAGTGAGATCTTTCATCACTCAGACATTACTGTCAACTGTTCTCAATAAAATAGTGAAATGTGTTTTTATATGAGACTATTGTTGAAATGTTTACATTTTGTTGAATCAGATGACTTATGAGTATAGTGTACGATTCTTTGCTTACCCCGAAACTGTAACTTCATTTTCTCATTATGAAGCAAAGGCAGCTGTATCAATCACAGAATCAGCCCGCTAAAACATTAATTAAAATCAAATCATTAATCAAGATCTTATGAAATCACTGGTTGAAAAGATACGATTCCACTTAATGGTCACTGAACATTTCTTCTGCAGTGTGGCTAAGAGCTTTGTGTGCTTTATACAGCTCGGTAATAAAGCCTCTCTTGGATGTCTCCAGCTTCTCTAGGAGTTGTTCATATTTCTGCTCGCAAGCTTCCAAATTGTTTGATGCGGCGTGAAGACGGCCCATGAAATCGATGTTGAGAAATTCCTGTAGATCAGGCCGGTCTTGAGGGCACTGTATTCTGTCCAGCAGGGTTAAATCCCCGTTCTCCTGTCTTTCATGAAAAGTTAGTATCCATCTGTTGGTCCAGCTCAGACTCACAGAAGTCCTGAAATATCTGCATCTCCTCCTGGTTGCTCATGGGTTTTTTAATCTCAGCCTCTAGGTCATTCAGCAAGGAGGTCATTTGACCTCCTTGGAAATGAATTCCATTCCTGATTTTGCTGGAGCTTGGCCATACTTTTCTATTTTCTGTTGTTTCCTGCTCAGTGGGCTTTCCACTGTAACTGTTGAAGTTATCTCTAAACAGAACTGACATTTGAGCTAAAGTTATGTGAGTGCAGACTTACGAGAATAACACGTATAAACACAAAATCTGTGATGTCATTTTGATATCATGCATTCTACTTCTCTGATATTTGATGATAATATATAATCCTATTATTATTATATATCACTTCTGAACTTTTAGGATAAATATGGTTGAAATATATGCTACTGATACGCAACGTCATAAGGCTGTTAGTCTGTTGTTTCCCACTTCCTGAATATAATTTACACTTTGACGTTCTTTCATGAGCACACAAAATCAAAAGATAAGTACGTTTCTTGTTGCAGTTGAACTAACTTTTGGTACCACAAACTCTCTGGGTACCAGGAACCTTCGGTAACACACACTCTCAGAACACACTGGAGATTCAGATCTGTCGATTCCCAGAGATTTATTTATTATTATTAAGTCGCACATACTCAGCTAAAACAAGCTCTTTCCAGAAAGACACCAACAAGGCAGTACAACATCCCTGAATCCTCTTCATTTCCCGATGATTATAACTAGAAACATTTTTCCACAAAATACTCCTTTTGTCAAGGACATTCATACAGCTATATAGCTATAACCAGCTCTGTGGTAAATGTCTACATGTGCACACAACCCCACATACATGATGACCATGTGTGGTCGGGTTATTCTGAGAGTGTCCCAGTATGAAGTTACTCTTGAAGAGTTTGCGGGGTTATCGACACACTGAGGGATAATGCTAATATGTGTGTATTTAATGGGGAGCTCATTCTTGCGTTTGCACATCGGAGGATATTTGTCCACCCACACAAAGGCAGAGAAATGGGACCCGGGGTGTTTTAATACTTTAATCGGGAGCGACATAAGACTTCCGTTACGAGCCCCTTTGGCCTCGGGTCACCATATTTATAGCATAACCGAGTCCATGAACCATGGTTCATGAACTGTTCCTCTGTTTGCCAAATGGAATATTATGTCATATTTCTCGTAAGATGCTGTATTTATCTTCCTGTGTGTGTTAAAATGGGTATCTGAGTCATTCCTGGGAGTCATAAGAAGCTTAGAAGCATTCAGGCCGAGGATGTCCATATAGAAAACGAGTGTGACGACACTTAGTTGGAGAACTATGAGAAATTTAAAGTATGTATTTTGCTTGCTTGTTTCACAGGTGTAAACCACCTGAAGTAAAACAGCATATTCTGCAATAGCTGGAAAGTCTTTATTAGAAATTCCTCCACGTATCAAACAGAAGGGAGATGAGTGGCAAACTAATTAGTTCATCTTTTTTAATCTATTGACAGCCCTAGTCTTTTTGAAATGTTAGTATTTATATTTTAGTTTAAATATGTCAATTTTACACACACACACACACACACACACACATGGTGACATTGTCTGGATGGTAACTGACGTTCAACAAAGAATAAAGGCTGCATTGTGCAGACAGGACTTGTAACAGTCCACTGTATATGTCCTCAATGTTTAAAACATCCGACTTCCTTTTTTTGTATACATATGTTCTTACATATGTCCAACAAGCAACTGAACTGCTTGTTGGAAGCAGTGAAGTGATTCCAGTACATTTTGGTGCCATTTTAGGGCAAGTTTTAAGCATATTTTCTGAAAACACCTAAAATTTCTAAAACTCCTAAAACAATATCGTATTATCGTGAATCCCAAATATTTCCAATCTTGTTATGACATGTATGGGGCGCCGTTTGTAAAATGTCGCATGTTCTAAAATCCTGCACAGTTTTGCTACATTTAGCATTATCATATGAACAAAAGAGCACGACAAGTCACTTTTTCAAACATTTAGAGAGAAATTTATGTAAATTCAATAACTTTTCCTCTGGCATAGACATGTTCATCACAACGTCACATCATTCCATGGCAGTTTGCTGGGGGGACAACAACATTCTGCCTTGGCACGAGTCCCTCGAGTGACTGCTGGGAAACAAGAAAACAAGAAATTAATGAATAAAAATATATATTTTTTAACACACACACACCTCTGGGCTGCTCTATCTCCTATGTGATATGTCCGCTTTGTGATCTCTGTCAAACCGCCCGTGAGGCAGTGACCTCTTCCTGCGTCCGACGCGCGGTCGGCGCGCTGGACATAAAGGGCGCAGCGGGCGCAGCAGACCCATTGGCTGGAGGACTGCGGGCCATTGGCTGGAGGACAGCGGGCCATTGGCTGGAGGACTGCGGGCCATTGGCTGGAGGACTGCGGGCCATTGGCTGGAGGACTGCGGGCCATTGGCTGGAGGACTGCGGGCCATTGGCTGGAGGACTGCGGGTCCCTGCGTGCTGGCGATGGGACGCGCTCTTAAGCAGCGCTCGCACTGACTCGACGCGCACATCGAGTTGTGTGGCAACATGTCGCAGTACGCTCTGGCAGGTAGGAAGTCTTCATCTTTCTTCACTCTCATCGCCTTGTCCCCTTATTTTGTTGTCTCTGCATGAATGATTTCCACTAGCTTAATGTAAAGTAATTACAAGTAGGGGAAGTCTACCAGGACACTGCAGTAACTAAATGCACACGAATGCTGAATGGGCACAGCTTATAGGTTTGGACTATTACCTCATTTGGTATTTAATCGTGTCCATCGGCTGGCAAGTCTGACACATATTTGTAGAGTGACCCCATTAGCTTTAGTTTTCCATCATCGCTGCTGCTGCTGCATTCAGCCGTTCTGCTCTTCATCTCTTAATGGAGTGTGAGGAGCTGCCTGCTCCTGCACAGAAGTGGCTGCGTGCATCCTCGCTGACAGGTGGTGCTTACTGGCTTCCATAGTGACCACATATTTATATGCACTCATGCTGAGTGCTTTAAGTCTCTTCTGATGAGATGTCTGATAGTTATTGGGACATTTTTACACATTATCTTCCTCGCCCCAGACTAAACAACTTGTTTGAACCGCTATCCATCAGTGTGTGTGATGCATGAGTCATCCAACCACACACCCTCATTATATGATGCCAAATGGACAATCAGAGCTCCGCTTTTGTGCTTCTCCCTCAGAAAACTCGGACACCTCCATCAGCATTTACACGGCTACCCACAGAACATTTCTAAATAAAACATTTTTGTTTTTAAAGGTTTTCATTTCAGGGAGATATGAATAAAATAGCATTTGATGTAACGGTGTACAGCTGTGATTGTAATAAGCACACGTGCAGCAGTAGTTTGTGTGAAGTGCTGGTACACACTCCGGAATATGTACAGCAATGTTGGCAGTGTGGAGGGAAATGGTTTTATTCAGACTGGTTTAACTGTTTAAAATCCCAATGCTAACCACGAATGTGTAAGAAACACGCAAACACACACACACACACACACACACACACACACACACACACACACACACAAGGAAGTGCAGACGCGACACGATCATGTTTCGAGTCAGAATAACGGCTCTTTTTGTATTTTATCTGATGTCTCTACATCTCTTCTCCATTTTCCTCCCATTTCTTTCTCCAAACTGCTGGCTTTCCCCTCATTAACCCCACGAACACGATGTCTGTGCAGTTCACCTGCAGATCCTGCTGGCTGTGGGTCTGGCCGTCGTCTGCTGCTGCCTGGTTCTCAGCTGCGTCTTTTGCTGTCGCAGAAGGAAGTCCGTTTCATCTGAGGACAAGGAGGCCGTCTTCCTGTCTCCCCATCGCGTCGAGAGGGTGACCGTAACGTTGACTCCGTCTCCGTGCACCCAGCCTGTCAAGCAGCAGTACGAGGAGCTGGATGGGGACGTGCTGGAGTTCCCTTCCTCTAAGAGCAGCTCTCCTCCCTCCGAGGATGACCTCACCTCCCTGCGCTTTGACCGCAGCCCTACCGGGTCAGCTGAGCTGGTGCCGTCGCCGCGGTCCTCCTTCCCGATGCGGCGTCTCAGCACCCCGGCCGTTCCCTGCTCGGCCAACAAGTCTCCGCGTCACGGCAGAGCCTCCCTGCCCTCCCTCACGAAGCTGGGCCCTGGCGTCCATGTCCCGTCGGGCGATGGGTCGGCGCAGCACCGTGAGCGGGCGAGAGTCTTCTTTACGGCGAGAGCAGTGGACTGACCGTTGCCGGCTCTCCGGGCCAGCATGGCGAGCCCCGTCTCTCTCAGTATGGCTCTAACTCGCTCTCCATCTCCTCAAAGCCGGCGGCTCTCCTTCACTTCTCCCTGCTCTTCTCCTCGGCCTGCGGCAGCCTCATAGTCAACGTCCTGGGGGTCTCGGGGGCCAGTCGAAGGCGCACCGGTGTGTTCGTCCGGGCCAGCCTTCCTCCCCTCTGCACCACCCCTCAGCAGATAGCCTATCGGCGCCGCAGCCTCAGCCCGGACCTCCACAGCCAGAGCTTCGTGCTGCAGGTGGGCGCCGTGGAAGATTTGCGCGGCTGCACCTTGAGACTCGCCGTCCACAGCAGGGACTTCTCCGGCTTAAGGGAGGCCGCGCTCGGGGTGGTGGAGCTGCCCTGTGAGCAGATGGATTGGGAGCCCGACACCACGATCACCTACACCAGGCAGCTGAGCCCGACCAAAAGCAAGCTGAAAAAGGTATGCAGCGATTGTGTGTTTCAATCATCTGATGAATGCAACTAAGCCCTGAAAAGGAACGAGTGCAGTTAGGAACATGAATGAAAACACTGAACACCCGAGCAGGACAGGGCTGTCGGAACCTGGACTGGACCCCAAACAGGCCTTATGAGCCAAGAAGTCAGGTCAACCCAATGATGAGCAGTTGTTTATGAGCTCCACACAATTTGCTTTAAGGTCACGCAAATAACTCTGTGCCTTATTCTGCGCCAAACTACAGCAAATATGAAACACCTAATTGATTAAATACAAGCTAGTCCCTCCTAGTTTGTAGTCAGAGCTTGGACCGAGAGGTGCACACAAAGAGAACAGAAACAATGGGTGACATCACTGTGACTCGGTCCATTTCTTATCTGCAGATGAAATCTAGATTTGGCACGGACGGAATAAACGTGCCACTGGTTTGTCGGGTGTTTGTGTTTTTGAGACGTGGTGTCGCTATCCTGAATGCAGATCAAAGCAGGGTGGACAACGGATGTCTTTGTGTTATCCGTGGAAATACTTTTTGGGGCAGTGACTGTATGCACATCTCACTCTGATTTCAGAGGACCTACGTAGGTGATTTCTTTCAAATTTTTTTTTAACAATCTGTATTTCTTTTAGTTGATATAACGGATAGGAAACTACGCAGGCACACCTATAAATGGCGCCTATCATGTTTTATCCATGAAGGAATGTGGCGTCTAATCAGGTCTCCCATTAGCCCTTTTTCCACCGTTGTTAGTCACAGTGACGTCGTTGTTAGCGACTGCAGAGCAAACAAGCAGAGTGCTGCAAATTGGCAGCGCGCCCACGCTGTGCCCTCTGTCGGTCTGTTGAAACGCTGCCAGAGGGCATTATTATCTGGGTTTAAAAAGTGTTGTGTTCGGTCACAGGGGTTTTTGCGTGGTCTCGGCACATAAATGTTGCAAATATGTGAAAACCAAAGCCAGATGTGCTTGACTTTGTCTCCTTTCATGCCATTTACACACAGAATTACCTTCCTCTTTCTGAATGAAAGCAGCTGCCAGGTGGGTGTCACTGGGTGGAGGTGGGGCTGCAGGGAAAGAGCTGGTGTTGCACGGAGAAATCCACCTAACGGGGCACCCCGTCGCTTTATGTGGGTGCATTCTGGATTTTGTAATCTGTGTCATGGGACCAGGTTGGCGTGTTGAGTTTGATCACGCCAAGGCTGCTAATTCTTATCATCCTTGGAAGCTATTTATCGTTGTCAAACAAACAACATTCATGTTAATGACCCCAAACTTCTCTTGTCAGAAAGGCATAAGTAGGGACGCATGCAGTGATGACAAAACAAAGAATCACTGATCAAAATATACAGGAAATAGTATCTCCGGATCCAGCTTTAAGAACAGAGCATCATGGGAATCCCGGTAGAATCTTAATGCTAAATGTTGTGAGCGACAATTGAGATGATGTTGCTGTGTCTTTGCCTTGCTAGATGCTCACCTTTTCTTCCAGCTCTTTTGGCTCCACACACAATTACAAAAAGTACAAAAAGATGCTCTGTTTTTTCCCGTTTGGTTGGGAAGTTCAATATTTCTATCAACAATATGACACTACAGAGAGGCCCCTAACTCGACCCCTCTATATCATTTGACTATCACACACAAGCCTACTAACGGTCAAAGAAAGAGAAACAAATCTTGCCAGTTTTGTTTGACATCTCTCCTCGTTGGAAGGCAGTGTGACGTGCGACAGACAAAGGCACTGAACCGAAACTGTACTTGACCTTCACACTCTGCTGCCCGGCCTCATGGAAGTTGTCGGCGGGCTGATGCTCCTAACTTGTTCCTTCACTTTAGACAGGAGGCAAAATCCCCAATGAAGAGGAACTGCATCGATGATTCTGGTGGAATCACTGAGGGAACTGCGTAAACACGCTGATGAGCGTGGGGTTTTAAGTGCTTTACAGCTTGAATCCGCTCCTTTCTCTTGGTTCCTTCCCTCGGTTTCCTTTCATTCTCAGCCTCTCAACGGATGAAGGGAACATCTGTCGGGTGAAAGACAAATTATTACCCCACATCTCTCATTTACATTATTTTTTTAAACGTACGCTTCCCACCCTCAGAGCGTGAGTTCCCAGGAAACACTGGGTCGAAGGAAGAGCTCGGTGTGCGCGCCGCGTGTTTTGGGACAGCTCTTCGTCCTGCTGCAGTACCAGACGCCAGCCCAGCGCGTCAAGGTGATGGTCCGAAAGGCTGAGAATCTGACCAAGCTGACACGGATCCCGGGAGCTGCAGGTAAACACAGGCCTCCTGTATCACGCGGGTGAGCTAACAACAGGAACATCATTTGTGGACAGTGACGCAACAATTATCAATTGTTAGTTTTTGTCCTTCAATTTTTGGACACTATGAGACTAAGAAACAAGCTGAAACACAATACTTATAATATCATCTCCTTTAATTTGCTACAACAAGCAAATTATTGCATAATTACATATCTAGCAGACCTACTTGGACCTACTAGTTGTTCTGTGGGAAACAGCTTCATGCTGCTGCGGGTAACAAGGCTGCTGGGAGAGAAGCCGGATTGGCTTGTGTTATAACGAGATTAGGATCCAATCAGCCCGTTGTCATTTCCGCTCCTGTCTGAAGCATATCTCACAGCATCTGATTTAAAGCTCTGCTTTGAAGATGCTGGTGAGGAGAGGAGACAGCAGGAAATTCTGCAACAGGAAAACAACCCCCATGTTTTGGTTTTCTGCACTTAAAGTGACAGTTTGAGGCTTTGTTGTTTGCGCGTTTGCTCAGAATGAAGTTGTTCCCGACGTCTGTCCAAATACGTACATGCTGTTTGCAGATATGCATGACTTTCATTTGAGTAAATCCAATGTGCATGCTTCGTTGGATACACGAGGGAAATCATATTTCTAAGGCGACGACGCAGATGATGAACAGTGACAGTGGGGAGCGACTCCTCTGTGGGACCGTCCCATGTGGAGGTGAAAAAACGCAACACAATAGATATCAGTGAGCGCAGATTAATGCATTAACCGCAGAAATGTTGACAGCTCCTCTATATTTCAACACCTTTTGTCGAACTCAGTAAATATGACATGAAAAGAAATCCTAAATAAATCACTGGGGATGTATTCTTTTCCTACAGACCACTACGTTGTCATCAACCTGCGTCAGGATGGAAAAGTAATCGTTACCAAGGAGACCAAAGGGGCCAGCGGTCCGAACCCGGTCTGGAACGCCCCGTTCCTGTTCGACCTGCCCTCTGGTGACATCACTCAGCTGCCGTTGGTGCTTGAGTTTATCGTCATGCAGGTAGGAAGCTATTTGTCGAACTCCCCAATGCGGCAACACGTCCTCCTGTTCAGCGGTGCAGACCTTCAAACTATGAAGCTCTAGGTTTCCGCTCTGTCTTCTTCAACTTGGGTTTAGGCAACAAAACCACTTCCTCCGTCAAGTTTACGCCGACCCCGATCTTTTCTTTGACCTCCCCTGACTCATTAACTAGTCACCTGAGTAACAGCACAAACATTAGTTTCACAGTCAAACGAACACACACTGTTCTTTTACTTTGGCACAGGAACAGAGCAGTGCTGCACGCGTTGGTGTCAGACGCCAAGAAGCTGCATTATTTGAATTGCCAGGTGTGAAAGCGGGTTGTACACACATTACATGTCAAACAGCGACATGCGGTTGATGTTAATATGCTGAAAGATTCGGGTAAGTGACAGCCGTCAGAGTCGACAGAGGTTTTGAATCCAGCCATCTCTTTTGAATCGACAGGGCCGTCTCTACACTAAGAGCAGCGTTCTGGGTCGCGTGTCCATTGGCGGCGATGCCTCCGGGGCGGGACAGGCACACTGGGAGGAAATGTGCAGTCGGGGGCAAACTGAGACGGCTCGCTGGCACACCATCCAATCGGACGTGCCGTAGGACTGGCTGAATGTGTGATGGTGCCGCTGGACCTTTTAAGGTCTATTGATGAGTTTTGGTGGCTTTGACTACATTGATGGATGTCCATTACCTACTAATGAATTAAAGTATCATTCCGTTTTGGGAGGAGACAAATATCGGATCAATGTATGGATCAATGTATGTATTCTGTATGACTCTATCATTCTGTTGTTGTGCTACTGTTTGTATTGTGACCAGAGGCCACAAATGTTAATGTCAAAAGCTATGGAGTATTTGTCATATGCATTGTATTTGTACAAACACCTCTACTTGTGAATATGTAAGGTTATTGAATTACTGTAGGACAGGGGTGTCTAACTCATTTTAGGGGGGGGTGCCACGCGGATGTTCGGAGGGGGGGACACTGTCAATCCAAGCCATGGCCGTCTACCCCCCCCTGCCAGTTCGCCCACAATAACAATACGGAGCTGCATACCTGGAGCGCAAAACTAATCGATATAAAGACAACACGACGAGCCTCTCGTCCAATGGCAGGTGATCTACCGGCCTGGTCCCCCTGGTCTAACGCGTGCGCTCACTCACAGAGTGCGACCCCCAGTGGACTTTTTAGGAATAGCAGCTACTTTTAGAGAAATGCAATTTATGTCTTTTTGTAATTCTCACAACAGCAAATCCATCCCGCGGGCCGCACTGGACCCCCCGGCGGGCCTTGAGTTTGACACCATGGCTGTAGGGTTATTGTCCACGGAAAAGCTGCTCTAAACATTCACAGATGCCACGGCTCCGTTCCAAATGCATATTTTACGTAAGATTTCAAGACTTCTGCCGAAAGTTACCACTGTATTCTTCACTAAGACAAAGCAGATGGAACAAAGAGGGCCGTGTGCTTTGTCTGTTTGCTAGCCAGATTATGACAGCAGCATTACTACCAAACAACATGACTGAGGGTCATGTGTTCCCTTGATACTGGCTTTTTTATTTAGATGCTTCTTAATACAGGAGAAGTCTCATTGAAAAATACAAATTAAATTGATTGAATAATAACTTACATACATACATTTTATGGAACATTGTTAAATAGAAACTGAAATAGATGTTTTACATTGTGTTGTACTTCAGAGAGACTTGCACAGGAAATAATAGCTCTTCAAGCAAAGAAGGGTTGGATGGTTAAGTTTTGGGGAAGGAGTTATTGTGTTTGTATTTATTGTATATTGACCATGTAGATGCTGCTGGTGGCATGCATTGTCTTAACTGTAACTGTTAAAAGGGGCAATTTTTAAGAAATTGAAATAAATGAATTTATTGTAAGGATTGGATGACGCTTGTGAATGATTAAATGTCTTTGTGAAGGGGATCACGTCAATGTGGGCATTTCATAGAGTTCTCATTCCGCTAACAGTTACTTTAAACTCTAAAAGATAGCTCATCTAAAGCAACATCAAATCCGTCTTTGCTGTCCTTGTGACTAAGTCTTTGTTTCTGTTTCCTCCTCACAGTGGGCCCCTTTTATTTGTTTTAAATAGACATATATGATGTCCAATCCAAACATGAAGCAATCTGGCTCCTAGAATGTTCGTAGGTCACATTAGATCACCCAACAAATGTGACGACTGCCACATACACACATACAGTAACAGCACACACACACTAGCGCACACATCCGAAAACCATCTTGATGTGTAAAATACGCATCTATGTCTCATCAGCCCATTGGATGAAAAACACATTCACACAGTTGCATATGACCATGTTGTTTTATTCAGTGTACAAGGAGGTATCTTATATTCTTTTTTATAAAGCGGGACATTTTCAATACTGACTAATTCATTGAATTTGGGCAAATATTCTCCCAAGCTGCTTCTGTAGAGCTTGCTGATAAATCCTGTTAACGTGAAAGCACAGAAAACTGCACATCCTGTTTAGTGTCAATATGAAATAAACTTCCTGGCATGAGGCTGAAAAGGCTGATCTGACCTCCACTGCTGGAGGAGGCAAAGTGAAGCCGCTTCAGAGCAGCAGAGAGGAGGATGTGGGAGTATACTTGCATTTAGCACAGGGACACACAAAGGTTCTCAGGCTGCAGTGATACGTCACACATTAATGGTTCATGCAATGGCCTCATTAAGAGTTAATACCCAATTGTAAGCAATAATTACAACATTTTGACTTGCCAGGTTGTGGGGGAAAAAATGGTCTCTAGCTGGTGTTTATCCTCCTGCAGCAGATTGCGTTGTAGCTCTTTAGCTCATTAGGCAGAGCTCTCCGATGCTTTACCTCTGACCCTCTAACTCCCTTTGCCTAAAGGCAGTTCCAACTTTCCTATTTAATGAACGTGCCCATTGTTGTCTGACCTCTCACCTCACTCCTTCATTGGTTCTGGTTACTTTGTTGAACCAGACCAAATGAGTTTCATAGGAAACAGGAGCTGCACAATCAGAGATATAAAAAAAGACACTAGCATGACACCGAGAGGACGGCACACTTTGTTCTCTCCTGTGCATGGACAGAAAATGAAGCGAGCGCTAACTCTGTCCGGTTCACTCAGCAGCAGCCTCTGACTCACAGTCCCTGAACACCTGCCCTGGACTTTTCCTGCTGTATTGATCCACACGCACCAGCTCCTCCGCCTCACCTGCCAGGACAGAAGTTCATTCCCTTCTGAAACAGTGCACTGAGCGTACTGACAGAGTTGCATCCCTTTGCGTGAGCCCTACCCAGGTGGCTTTGTGTGGGAAAATATCTGGTGGTGGTGTGGGACATTAGCATCAGTGTTAACCATTACATCTGGCTAAGGCTTTTGGAGCTAATGATCTCCAGGCTTTTGGGGGTTTCAACATCCTGCGCACACTGAACTGCATGACGCATCAGCGAGTCACTCCCTCAGTCTTGCCCTGCTTCATTTGCCGCGTCTGACACGCATTGCTCGTCACTGTGCTCCGGCTTTCATCTGAGGAGACAGCAGAGCCTCGTGGTGCCGGAGGGGGCGCGACCTCCGCTGCGCTAAGCTGGAGGCCGAGACGGGCCACATACATGGACAAACCAACGTCCCCAGGACAACAACGTTTTCAGTTTTCTTTAGGAACATAAAAAAAGCGCATTGAGACAAAGAAACACGCTGCCTCACTAGATATGATGAGAATGTAATAATGGAAACAATATATATTTGTCATTATTTATGCACTGGCTGATTCGCCAGATGTGTTGATGTGTATGGACAATCGTCTCAGATGTGTAAATGGGTCAAATCTATGGGGATATGATTCTGTAATACTATTACAGTCGACAATCTTATAATCAAGTCTTATAATCTTTTCTTCATTATCAATGGAGCGCTTTTCAACATATGACAGAGTGAAACTCATGAGCTTAGGGATTGGAAAAACGTGTGGGTAGCGGACCATCAGAGCCGCCATGGACGACCACCCAGGCCGGCCTGCAAGACCACATGCTGTTGCCTGGAGAGGCGAGAAGCTAAGCTAACCCAGCTAGGAGCTAAGGCTGTTCCAGCAAATAGTTTTGTTGCTGCTGGTTACATTCCTCAACATGAAAATAAATGATCCTTAAGTCTGTGAATGCGTTGAATTATTTTGACATATATTGAGACGTTTACACGATGACACCTTTACACATTTTTTTATGTTCTATGCTTTTCATCATGTTTATGTTCATTTATTTTTAACATGCTTTTCTACAATTGTTATGTCTTCTTTCCGACGTCCTGTACTAGGACTTTTTAATAACATTATTCTACATACAACTGTATATTACTTATTAAAGGTAATGGTCAATATATTATAGGAGTTTTTTCAATATACTATAGGATGAATATTTTATCTTTTTAGTAGGGCTGTCAAATTTGACCCGTTAATCTATGCGATTAATGTGGCCGAGATTAATGCAATAACATTTCTTTAACGCAGTTAACGCAACTTTGTTTACTTCCAGTCTTCTGGTGTGCTGGAAATGTAATCATGCTTATTGCATTAGAACTGCAGTGAAACATGTATGCTGCATTGGCACATAAGGTCACATAAGGCTATCATCATAAAACCATATTTTACCAGCAAACATTTACAATGTGGATATTAAGATATGACATAATAATAAATGAAACTTGCACTTTCAATTACTTACGGTAATTTAAGAGCAAGAAATGATTGTGAGAGTGAAACGGTTTCTAGTAAAGCTGCCTCCAGGTCGCCCCCTTGTGGATCCTTGGAGTAAAGCACCTGCTTGCTGAAACGATACAGCAGTCAGAATCAGGTCACTTCAGTACACGTACACTCACACACTCACTAGGTGGCTGTGGAACAAAGAGCATCAGAGGCCCGGCCGTCGCCCTGCGTCTCCCTGTGGAAGCTGCTGTCTCCACCTCAGAGGTTCAATGACGGCACGTTCAAGCTACACAAGGTCAAAACAAACACACCTTACCACTCCGCTCTTTGAAGGCAAAATCCTGCACACGATTTTATAAAATCCCCTGTTTGTGCGTGTGAATGCACGAGGGTGTTATGTGCAAGACAATGTTTTTGCACGAACCTGTGGCGTGTGTGCAAATGACCCCACTGTGGGCCCTCACATCTGGAGCCCACTATGGACCTGCTGCAGGATCAGAGAGCCACAGCGTCGCTTGTGTAAGGACCTTCCGTGACCATGATTAATGAACGCTCCGTCACGATCGGACCAGCTTTCATGCCCTCTTGCGCCAGCTCAGAACTTTGACCCCACCAGCTCAGGTTGCTGTGAGCCCTGAAATGACGCGGTCAGAGGTCTCGAGTCTATCGGCAACGGATCAAATGCCTCCTGGATCGAAGAAGACAAGGACGCCGTTCAGGCTGCTGGCAGAGAAAACAAACTCTCTCACAGATGTGTTTTTAACATCCCGCTCCGCATGCATCCATATGTGGACCAAACTAACTTCATAAATTACATTTTTTACTGTATGAAAAATAAAGCATTACCCTACCCAGCATTTTTATGGTTTTCTTTATACCCTTCCCCTAAAACACTCTCCAATCTAAATAAATCGGACAGTAATGAATGGGGTCAATTTCTTTAACCATTCCTAACTTGAGGTGAGGGAGATTGCTAAATGGAGTCCTTCTATTTACACCATTTAGCCTCCAAAATGTCTGGATTTAAACTATTTATCAGCTAGTGAAGCGAAGGTTGCACCATGCAGACAAATAGTGGAAATATATATGCGTTGGATGGGATTATCAGCTTATTCTGTTCACGAATAATCAGCTAATCATTTCCATACAGGCCCGCAATTACTTGTTTTCCTCTTCCTCACATTTTATGTTCCTTAATGAAAATATAAAGTTTTGCATGAGTCTGATAAACTCACCTGCGTTTAGCTTATGAAAATAAAAAAGCCCAAATTAAATGTGCTTGCAATGCAGCAGGTGTTCAACTATACACGGTAAACTCGTGCACACACATCTCCGCCACAACAAACTGTCCCCGCTGAACGCACAGCAGGGTGCCAGACTGCAGCTGCAGGGAGAGAGCTACAATGAAGATGTGTCGAAGACCATGAGGCCCAAATGTTCCAGAGCAGCTGGACTCAGTGTGCCTCTGTCGTCTCCATGTAAACAACGGGAGACGTTAAGCAGAAACACATGACACTCGTTTCTATTCGAACTCTCCCCATTGTTGTGTTTGCCGACAGGCCCTTCTGCACGGAACACGTTTGAACTTTTGATGGGTCTGACGATGCTGTGATGCTGTGATCACGAATCAGAGTTTTCCTCAAAGAATCCCACTTTTCCCAACGTGTCAGTGTTGAGTGAAGAAAAGCATCATGGTCACACAGCTTTTCACAATACAATACTCCACCTTTTTTAACCCATCTGTTAGTTTCGCAACTGAAACATGTGATGGTTAAAACGTTTAAAGGTGTATTATGACATTGGGTGATTACGTTTTATACACGCGAGGACGCAATACAACACAAACACATGTTCAGAAGACCAAAATTTGGGTTAAATGTCCTGCAGTCTTTGTTTAACACATGATGGGAATGTAAACTGTTGACCGTCGGGGTTACAAGCTCCATCTTATTGAGATAACTGTTCATCCTGTGGGGGAAAGGAACATACTGCAGACAACACTTATTTTATACTAAATACAACATGCTAATCTTATACGTATATGTTTCATTTGAAATGACACTTCTCCACCAATCATAGAATGTAGAATCCCCAGAAAGCATCAGATCCAAGGGAGCAACAGTGAACTGTGAGAGAAGAGACAAAGCGGAGCGAAGGCTCCCTCAGTCTCAGTCTGACACACATTGACACTGTTCT